AATTACCAACATTAAATCAAGACCATATAACAGCTCTCAATAACCCAATAACAGCCAATGAAATATGAAATGTAATAAAAAAAACTACCGAAAAAGAAAAGTCCAGGTGTTTCTGAATTCTACAAGAAATTTACATAAGATATAACTCTGATACTCCTCAAACACTTCAATGAAATGGAAAAGGAAGCAATCCTCCCAAAATCATTCCTGGAGGCAAGTATTATGCTGATTCCAAAACCAGGGAAAGATGCAACTAAAAAAACCACTACAGGCCAATCTCCCTAATGAACGTAGATGCAAAAATCCTCAATAAAATCCTAGCAAATAGAATACAGCAAATCAAGAAGATTATAAACCATGACCAGGTAGGATTCATCCCAAGGATGCAAGGATGGTTCAATATACGCAAATCCCTCAACTACACCATATCAGTAGAGAAAAATCTAGAAACCACATGATCATTTCAATTGATGCAGAAAAGGCTTATGACACAGTTTAACACTCACTCATGTTCAAAGCTCTCCAGAAAATTGGAATATAAGTCCTCTAATTCAATCTGATAAAGCCATCTATAACAACCCAATGCTAATATAATTTTAAACGGGTAAAAACTGAAACTTTTACTCTTAGATCTGGTACAAGACAAGGATGTCCTCTATCACCAGTCATATTCAACATAGTTCTGAAATCATTAGCTAAAGCCATTAGACAAGAGAAAGAAACAAAAGGAATAAGAATAGGTAAAGAAGAAGTTAAATTATCATTATTTGTAGATGACATAATACTTTAATTGGAAGACAGAACAAAACTCCACCAAGAAGCTACTAGTATTCATACACAAATTCAATATCATAGCAGGATATAAAGTCAATACCCAAAAGTCAGTAGCATTCCTCTACACAGACAACAAACACACTGAGAGGGAAATTATAGAAACAATACCTTTTACAACAGCACTGCAGAAAATGAAATACCTAGGAATACATCTAACTAAAGAAGTCAAAGATCTTTTCCAGGAAAACTACAGTACTCGTACAAAGGTGATCATAGAGGATTTCAGAAAATGAGGAGATATTCCCTGCTCCTGGATAGGAAGAATCAACATTGTAAAGATGGACATACTCCCAAAATTGTTGTACAGATTTAATGCAATACCTATCAAACTCCAACAGCACACCTCCCAGACCTAGAGAAATAGTTTCTAAAATTTATTTGGAGCCAGAAAAGACCTAGAATAGCAAAGGCAATCCTAGACAACAAAGACGAGGCAGGAGGCATTACAATTCCTGACTTGAAATTATACCAAAAAGCTACTGTGATAAAATCAGCATGGTACTGGCAACGAAAGAGACCTAAGGATCAATGGAATAGATTAGACAATGCAGAAACCTCTACTTCCCATTATGGCTGTGCATCCTGAAGTGTAGGGGAATATGTAAAGCACCTGCATTCCTCCAGAGCAAGATTCCCACAATGATTCAATGTGATTTATACAATGGGTGAAGAGCAATGGGGAGGGTCCTAATCTTCTTGATGATTCACAGCATTCTGTTTTCCAATTTATTATAAAGGATTTTTGCATCAATGTTCATTAAGGATATTGACTTAAAGATTTCTTTCTTGGTTGGATTTTTCTCTGATTTTGAATCAGGGTAATACAGGTTTGCAAGAAAGATTTTGAAAGTACTGTTTCCCTTTTAATTTCTTAAAGAGTTTTAGCATTAATTGCATTAGCTAATCTCTAAATTTCTTCTGTCAGTGAATTCTTTGCTGGCAATTTTTTAATTACATTTTCAGTTTCATTGGCTTTTATTGTTTTTTTAATAATTTTTTATCTTCCTGATTCATTTTTTTTGCAAAAGTCCACAAAATGTTTATCATTTGCAATTATGTAGAGAATACTGTACCAAGAAATTATTATCTGAATCTTACTTAAGGGTGTTATGGAAATCAGTTTAAAGGGTCAGTTTCTTAAAAATAGTCTCACTTGTATCTTGAAATGTGTCCATTTATTCTGTGTTTTCCATCTTTTTAGAATAGAACTTCTCATAGTAAGTATTGATCTCATGTATTTCTTTTTTTTTTTTTATCTCATGTATTTCTGTGGGACCCATTGTGATTTTCTCCTTTTTGTTCCTAATTGCTGGCATTTGTGTTTTTACTTTCCTCTTTGAAGGGCTTTGCCAGTCCTTTATCAGTTTTATTTATTCTTTCAAATAATCATCTTTTCAATTCATTAATTTATTGATTCTTTGCATTATTTAATCTACATTTAATTAGTTTCTGCTCTTATCTTTAAAATTTCCTCATTCTTAAGGCCAACAAGACAGCTCAATGTCTAAAACAACTTCTTAGGCAAGTTCAGGCAGGGGACCATGGTACAATCCCCAGCAACCCATGCTGCAGCAGCCCTGCCCTCAGGGCAGGCTGAGCCAGCCTCCCCAAAAAAAATAAATAAATACATAAAAAATTTCCTTACTCATACAAGTTTTGTGTTTGGTTTGTGCTTTTCATGGAGGTTTGAGATTCAACATTAGGTTATTTGAACTCATCCTGTCTTCATATGTAAGTTCCTTGCTATAAATTTCTCTCATGGGACTGTTTTCATTGTATACCATAAATTTCAGTATGTTCTATTGGCATTATCATCTAATTGTATATACTGATTAACTTCATCTTTAATTTCCTCTATGATGTTTTGGTTGTTCAGAAGGATGTTGTTTAAATTCCATGTCTTAACGCAGTTTTTGTGGTTTGCTTTGTCATTGATTTCCAGGTTCATTGTCCTGTGATCAGAGAGCATGTATTATATGATTTTATTTTTTTTTATTTTTTTTCTTTTCAAAGTTTTATTGATAAACATATAGCAATGAGACAGTTTCAAATCAAATCGAAAGTACAGTTTCAACAAATAATACACTGCATATATTCTTCTTAGTGGTTAATTGCTGTACAAGATGCAGACTTGTGATCCTACTTACAAACACCATTAGAAAAAATCATTCTATTCATTAAGAGAATGCAACTATATATCTATCCCAACCACTTTGAATACACAGATACAAAATGGACATTCATAGTTATACCCCAATTTTTTTTAAGTTCCATTGTTGAATATTATAGGTGTGTAAACTCAGCAAAATATTCTAAAAGAGTACAGAAGCCCATAATATCATTGGATCTTCTGTTTAACTGGCAATGTCTATATGATTTTAATTCCTCTGCATTTACTTAAGCTTAATTTGTCAGCTAATATAGGATCTATTTTGGATAACATCCCATGTACAGTTAAGAAAATGTATTCTAATATTTTCAGATTGAACACTCTGTAGACGTCTACCAAGTCCATTTCTTCATAGGCTTAGTTTAATTCTAATATTCCTGTTTTGACTTTTTGTCTATTTATTCCACACATCTGTGAGGGTTCAGTATTAAAATACCCCACTACACTTGTGTTAGTTCTTATTTGATTTTTCATTTCAGTTGATATTTGTGTTATATAGTGAGGTGAACCTGTGTCTGGTACATAAATATTTATAATTGTCATCTCTCCTTGTTGGGGTTTACTCTTAACAAGTATATAGTGACCTTCTTTGTATCTTTTAATCAGGTTTGGCTTAAAGTTTTTATTATCTACAAATACCATTGCTACCTCTAATCTTTTTCTGGGTTCCTGTGGCATGGAAATTTTTTCATCTTTAAATTTTTCTTTTCTTTTTTTTTTCTTTTTGTGGTACCGGGAATTGAACTCAGGACCTTATATTTGCCAGGCAAGCGCTTATTCTACTGAGCTATCGCCCGGGACCTTCATCTTTAAACTTTTAGTCTATGAGTTTATTTTTCAGTTAAATGTGTTTCAGATATGCAGCACATTGTTGGATCTTGTTTCTTAATCTATCCTGCCAGTCTGTTTAATTCGATTGGTGAATTGAGACCACTTACATTGATGCCTGTAACTGATATTTACTGGTTTTACTTTATCATGTTGTTTCATCCCTGCCTTTCTGTCTGTACTTAAGTTCTTTCCCTACCTAGAATCTTTCTACTGGTGTTCCTGTCTTTGTGGTCTTACTTTTCTTTTTCTAGCATGTCTTTCAGAGTATTCTGTAGAGATGGTTTGGTGCTCATACATTTTGTCAGTTTTTTTACCACAAAAGTATCTTATTTCTTCATCAATTTCAAAAGATATTTTTGCTGGACTCATCAATCTGGGTTGAACATCGTTTCCCTTGAAGGCTTAAGTATGTCACTCCACGCTTGTCTTTTGTTGTTGTTCTTGTTGTTGTTGTTTGTTGTTGTTGTTGTTGTTGTTGTTGTTGTTTTTAACCAGGAGTTGAACTTAGGAAGTTACAGTTCCAAAGAAGGTGTTAATGCTGCTGTGATAGGCCCAGACCTCCAAGCTCTTGAGCTTAGGATTTGTGTTGAGAACTCTGATGTGATCCTGATGTGCTTTCCTTCATAAGTGATATGTTTCTTTTTTTCTATTTGCTCATAATATTTTTTTCTTGTGCTGAATTTCTGGAATCCTGATCATTATATACTTTGGTGTGGACTTATTTTGGTCATGGATATGTGGAATGTTATGTGCTTCATTTATTCGTATGTCAATTTCTTTATCCATTTTAGGGAATTTTTCTGCCATATTTCTGTGGCAAGGTTTTTAGTGCTTTGTGCTGCCTCCAGCTTTGTCTGATTCAAATCAGTCTTATGTTAGTCTTTTTTGCTCCATCTGGTAACTGCCGGATTGATTTTTTTCTGGTCTCAGGGTTTTTAAGCACCTTTCTTTTTCTGGTTGCTAGCTGCATTCCTTTTTTCTAGATCTGATATTACCTTCATTTAATCTGCTGTGTATACGTTCAGTGGAGTTTCTAATGCCTGCATTTCTGTTTGCATCTGTTTCACTGATTCTATTTCTGGTCTATGTTTCTTATGTATTTCTTGTCTATGTCTATGTTCATTGTTTTCATCACTTTTCTTTTTTAAAAAAATTTTAGACTATGGCGGTTGGAGGGACAGCGGTGCACACACGTCCTGCTGGAGAGAGCTGGATTCTCGTTTCAGGTCACCATCAGAAAAACTAAGTTTGGCATACAGTAAGGATCAGGAGATCTGATCCTGATTGCAGAACTGTCCTTGATTACAGAGTCTTGGGTTGTGTCTTCTACTTCTTCCTTCCAGACCACCCTGAAGACCTGTAAGATTCCACTTGGGAAATTATTTGCAGTTCTTGGAAAGGAAAGAAGGAAGATTGTTGGTTGGAATAAAAACAGGGTTGAATGAGTTCCAGAAAGCAGGGTTCTCAAACTCGTGGACAGCAATCTGCAGAAGAAGACAACTTCAAAAAGCCATCCCGAAGCAATATGCAGAGAAGTAAGAAGAGAGGGGCCTCCTCAGGAAAGAAGGCAGCTGGTCCACAGCCAAAGAATCTTGAGCCAGCTCTTCCAGGAAGATGGGGTGGTCGCTCCGTGGAGAACCCTCCTTCAGGATCTGTGAGGAAGACAAGAAAGAACAAGCAGAAGGCTCCTGGGAATGGAGATGGTGGCAGCACCAGTGAAGCACCCCAGCCCCCTCGGAAGAAAAGGGCCCGGGCAGACCCCACCGTTGAAAGTGAGGAAGCATTTAAGAATAGGATGGAAGTTAAAGTGAAGATTCCTGAAGAATTAAAACCATGGCTTGTGGAGGACTGGGACTTAGTGACCAGGCAGAAGCAGCTCTTTCAACTTCCTGCTAAGAGAAATGTAGATGCCATTCTGGAAGAATATGCTAATTGTAAGAAATCACAGGGAAATGTTGATAATAAGGAATATGCAGTTAATGAAGTTGTGGCAGGAATAAAAGAGTATTTCAATGTGATGTTGGTCACTCAGCTGCTCTACAAATTTGAGAGGCCCCAGTATGCTGAAATCCTCTTGGCTCACCCTGATGCGCCAATGTCCCAGGTTTATGGAGCACCACACCTATTGAGATTATTTGTGAGAATAGGAGCGATGTTGGCCTACACGCCCCTTGATGAGAAGAGCCTTGCACTATTGTTGGGCTATTTGCATGATTTCCTAAAGTATCTGGCAAAGAATTCTGCATCACTGTTTACTGCCAGTGATTACAAAGTGGCTTCTGCTGACTACCATCGCAAAGCCCTGTGAGGGTCTACTGACCGCTCACCACTGATGTCTGCTATCTGTAAACACTTTCTGTTCTTAGTCTTCTACTTGTATAATTGATGTTCTTTAAAATTGTCAGCGTATAACAGGGCTTATGTTTCAGTTTGTTTTCTGTTCTATTTTAAACAGAAAATAAAAGGAGTATAAACTCCTTTCCTCATTTCAAAGTTGCTACCAGTGTATGCAGTAATTAGACAAAAAACATTCAGTAGACCATTTTATTGCCTAGTTGACAACATTGCTTAAATGCTGGTGGTTCTATCCCTTTGACACTACACAATTTTCTAATATGTGTTAAATGCTATGT